TGGGACTACAGGCATGCACCACCATGCCCAGCTAATTTTTTCTATATATTTTTAGTTGTCCAGCTAATTTCTTTGTATTTTTTTTAGTAGAGACGGGGTCTCGCTATGTTGCCCAGGCTGGTCTCGAACTCCTGACCTCGAGCCATCCTCCCGCCTCGGCCTCCCAGAGTGCTGGGATGACAGGCGTGAGCCACCACACCCGGCCCATTTTTTTTTTTTTTTTACTGAATAACGTGCCTTGAATATTATTCTGTTTCAGTACAGAACTTCCTGATTCCTTTGTGTTTCGTGTAGCACATGTCAACTGAGGGCCTTTTGGTTGTTCTCTTTGCAGTCCGATGAGGAAGGCAGCCAGGAGAAAGGAGGGGACGACGGGCAGCAGAAGTTCATTGCTCACGTCCCTGTGCCGTCGCAGCAAGAGGTAGGACGACCGCGGCTGCTAAGAGTGCAACCCTGGGTCCTGGTCACATTGGTCCTCGTCATTGTGCCCCAAACAGGCTACGACATCCAGAAGGCGCGGGACCCTCTGCTCCCGGCGAAAGCGGCCGATGCTTTCCGTCGTTCAGCTCTTTCCAGCGGGAGGGCGTTGGGGTTCTTGGGGACCGTCCTGCGGGTTGGACTCAGACCCCGTGTCCTGGCTGGGTTCCGGCGGGGGACCAGGGGACAGGGGACAGGGGACAGGGGAGCGAGGCCTGAGCCCTTTCCTCTTGTCACCCACAGATCGAGGAGGCCCTCGTAAGGAGGAAGAAGATGGAACTCCTCCAGAAATACGCCAGCGAGACGCTGCAGGCCCAGAGCGAAGAAGCCAAAAGGCTCCTGGGGTATTAAGTGGGGCTCTCCCCGGAGTCTGGAACATTCGGTGGGGAGTCCGTCCGCCCATCCTCCCGTGGGCCCCCACAGAGCCCCTGGTCCCGGCCGCCGCGAGGCTTCCCGCTCGTTTCTCATCCTTTGTTCCTCTCCTGCCTGCGTCACCTCGTGTGCGGAGGGGACCGTTCTGTCCCCGGCCTCCCCGGCAGGCTGTCTAGGTGGCGAACGCTTGGGCCATCAGCTTTGTACAGATCTTTCGCTACCGCAGGAATCCGTTTATTTTTATCTCGGAGCGTGCAAAACGGCCAGCTGCCAACTGGCTGCGCGTGTTTTGTTTCGCCTCGTGCTGTTATTTTGGGAGAAGCAGACTCAGTTAGTGGCTGACATTAAAAGAAAAATGTCACTTCCTAAAAAGACATATCTTCTCTTGAGAAAGGAGATGACGTGTAGGCCCCAAGCTGCACCCCACGGGTCCACGGCCCCACGGTGTCCCTCCGTGTGGCCCTGCTCTTGGCCTGTCCGTTGTAGCAATCTGCGTTTGCTGCTTTTTTTTTTCTGCTTTTTTTTTTTTAAAAAATAACCTGTTCTGCTTAGAGCTATTTTTATTAAAGATTTTTATAAGAAAGGGAAAACCTGCACCGTAGCCTCAGTTTCCCCACGCTGAAGTCCGGGACCGAACCTGGGAGTGTCTGGGGTTCCGGGCAGTGCCGTGGTCTGGGCAGGGGCATCGGAGGACACCCTGGGGACAGAGTGACCCACCTCCGAAGCTCTGGGACAGTTGGAGGTGTCTGGGCTCAGACAGGCCCAGTTAGGCGTTTGTTTGCCAGGGGCCACCTGAGAACGGTGTCGCGTCCCTGCGTTTAGACGCGAGCAGGACATTGAGACGTCAGGCGGTTCTCCTTCCTGGAAAAAAAAAAAATGGCAGGTGGCCGGAGCCAGGCCCTTCTTCTCCCTCGGTCCAGTCCCCTCATCCCTCCAGGCCTTCAGTGGACGACGCCCTCCCCTCCCGGGGTGTCCCCGGGGCTTCCCGAGACTCCGGTGGGACAGCAGTTAGGAATGCCACATTGAGGAAACCGGCTCAGGATGGAGAAGCGGCCTGTAGGTAGGTGTCGCCCGCAGATGCCACCTGGGTGTCAAGGGAAGGGCTCAGCAGGGCTCCTGCCCTGCCCCCTGGGGTTGGGGACGGGGGTGGGTTGCTGCTGGCC